TTGTGTACATTGAGGTTCTTCAGGTGGTCATGAACCTGATCATCTCTTACAGTGGGAGAGACTTTGCTCCCCCAGTTCCCATCTTGCGGTCCATTCACTTGAGGTTGCCGGTGAAGACTGAGGCAAAGAAGTTGTTGAGTACCTCAGCCTTCTCCTCGTCCATTGTTACCAGTTTGCCAGTCCTGCTCATCAGGGCAACTATGCTTTCATTGACCTTCCTTTTCTGGCTGACATACCTGTAGAAGTCCTTATTAGTCTTTGCATCCCTTGCTAAGTTCAACTCCAGCTGTGCTTTGGACTTCCTGACCCCACCCTTACACAACCAGGCAGTGTCCCTATACTCTTCCCAGGATACCTGTCACGGTTTCTGCTGCCTGTGGATTTCCTTCTTGCCCTTTAGTTTAACCAGCAGCTCTCAATTTATCCATGCCAGTCTCCTGCCTTTCTTTCCTGATTTCTTACACCTGGGGATCAAGAGCTCTTGTGCTCTATGGAAAGCATCCTTAAAGATCTGCCAGCTGACCTAGTCCTGTTCCATCACATACCTGCACAGTACCTTTTTTTAGCCATGTAAATTTAATTTTACATTAAGCTTTGATTCAGGGAATCAATAAGGGAAGAAGAAAAATAGAAGAGAATAATATTGTTAGTCTTCTTCAGAGTACATGAAAATATCAAGTCAAATTATATTTTTTCATTAGTATGAACAATTATCAATCAACTTCTGTCACACCAGCACCTCACTTTCCTTAGGAAAAAAAAAGAAAGAAATTCTGAAAGAAAGATATGAACATAATTCTTTTGACAGTGTGACATTTCAATGGCTATTTCTTTTTCCCTGGAAAAAATACCTAATAAACAAAATACACAGCTAATACTGATTATTGATGATATATATATGACATTCAAGAAAAAAAGAAGTATAAATATACATCCTCTTATGGTCATATGTGATGATGTATCAGTAAAATTACAGCATTATTAGTTTAAAGCCTGATTAAATTTACAATTGTTCAATTAAATTTACAAATGTTGTACCCTTATTCTTGACTACTGAATTAAAAAGTACATTTAAGTTTCTTTAATCTGTACAGTTGTCAACAATTCTTGTCATTCTATCTGACAGCTGGGAATGGCTGCATATGTCATATTTTAAGGAAAGAAAAGTCAGGACCAGGTGCTGCAATAGAATTATTGAGAGGATGGCACAGACATCAGCAAAAAACTAGTCTACATTAATTGGATTTCAAGCTTGGAAGGTGTGGATTGTGTGTACTCACATCTCAGTAGCTTAAAAATAACAAATCAGAGCATGTCTATCAGAACTAAACTGAGAATACTTTTCACTACAAAAAAATTTGATATGGTCACTGGAATTCTTTGAGGTATATTGTCCAAACATTTCTTTTGAGTACATTTAAAATTTCAAGTGTTTGACTAGCAACATGTGCCTAAGTAGCATATGCCCCTGAAAGTCTTTAATTCAAAGGGAGAGTTGAAAGGGTGTTATGATCCAGGCCAACACTGAATTCTGCTTCTTATAGGATTTATAGTAGCTAGAAGTACTCTAGCTACAACACATTTCAAAGGAGTTGAGTCACTTTACAAGTGAACAACTTTTCCTTTGTTACTGTGTCTCTTCTCCATTACTCTAGTGATATTTCAAAAAAGTGTGTTCTTTGAGACTAGTTGGAGAGAGACTGAAATCCAGCTAGGTCAAAAAAATAATCCAGCCTGGGTCAAAGGAAACACCCAGCAAGCTTCCCACTTCTTTTTCATTGGTGTTACAGTGGGAAAATGTGCAGTCTACTAAATGATTGCCCTGCATATGTCCAAAAGGGAAACAATTTGCAAAGCACTCCAGAAGCTGAAAGGCTCTTATAAAAAATATTCAGTAGTTGCATCCGAGTAAGTTTTGGTAAGCTTTATGATTACAAAATATCATGGATAGTGCCTAGGTTAGAATTCATTGACCCCTCTATACAAATGACACAAATAAAGCTGAGGATGCCCTTTCAAAAGTACATATAAAGCTCTTACTCCCAAAGGTCAGCTTAAAAGGGTAAAATTTGTATTATTAAATTACTTGTGACAATTCTGAAAGAAGACTAAGAGATAAAAATACAAAAGCAGAAAGAAATCTTTGCACTTTTACCTTCAGAATTTCTTTCTCTTTGGAGATATGTTACTATTAGGTAACATTTATCTTTCTGCAATGGTAATGTCACCTTAAAATTTAATGTGAAACTGTTAGACTTGCAGACTGTGACTTGCACTCAAGCTATTTATCCCATCAAAGAAAGGCACAACTTCCAGAACTAAAGGTTTTAACAGTAATAAGAAATAAAGTTTCAGATTTGGCTTTGGTTTTTGTTTTTTTTTTAAGAGAGAAAATAGCAGAACTGGAGAAACCTTGATTAAGGAAGACTAATAAAGGAAAAACTGAGAACTAATATCTACAATATTGCAAATATCAGTCCATGATTCCTGAATAAGGAACCCTTAGCCTGTTTTCCCTTTAATCTGTAGAAAATAAAGCTTTCAGCCTTACTCAGAGAGAAATTTTGATCCTAAACCAAAACCTTTTTCATAGACAACTGGGTAAACCAGCTGTCCCAGCCAATTAAAAACTTATGAAACGTCTGTGGCTATATCTACATCACAGTTAGAAAGTTGTTCATGACAAGCCAGAACAAAAACAACCTCCTTGTGTTGATCAGCTTGCCTTAGTGGGTAGGTTGTGTTTGACTATATTGTTCAGGTACATCTGGTAGTGTAGTAAGCTGAGGACATGATTCAGAGGACACTTGGTGCTCTACAGTGCCATTACTATCTGCTTGCTGTCTTCATAGATAGTCTGATCTTGCTGTTGTCCCAAGAGAAGTCCAGAAAGCACTACAGTGACATAAGTCAATAATTGGGTACTACAGTTTTTAAGTTTCAGTGTGATTATAGCTTTGTGGCCAATGGAGGCCCCATATTGGCAAATTCAATGGCTATGTTTTGACCTTCTATCCCTGCTCTCAGGGATCATTGTGCTGAAGCATTCAGAGATGTTTGTTTTGGTTACTGCATTTCCCAAGTTTTCTATATTATTTGCTACATACAGTAATGATAGAACCGCGCTACTTCAGCTGCTACTGAGACCTTCCATCATTACTACACACACACAAATGTATACAAATATGATTATTCTAACTGTTGTAATGAGACTGATGGAAATGTCATGTAAAGTAATACCTAGTCTAGTCCGCATTCTTTGTAGAAGCATACACATTATCTACTTACTAATGCATTCAGGTAGAGGTTTGTCCCAGTGGCCATTTGGTTGACAAATTAAAACTGAAGAGCCAAACAAAAAATATCCAGGATTACAGTCATAAAATACCACCGTGCCATATGTGAAATTTCCATGTTCAATTTTACTTTCTCTTATAGAATTTGCAGGAATTCCAGGATCAGAACAATTGACCACTAAAAAGAAAAAGAGAACAGACTTCAGTCATACAAATACAGTCTACTAAAATAGCCTTTACATGGTTTCCTGTCCTTGGTATGAGAGACTTCCAATGTGTTGCTACCCTGGTTTTATACACCCTGATTTTATGTATAATGATACTGAATTAGGAAGATGACATGAAACCAGGAGATGCTAAACTCAGAGCACATGAAAGGAAATGTTTCTTCACAGAGTGTGATGATGCTGTAAAAGTATTTGCCACTAAAAGTGACTGGACATGTCATTATATTCACTTTATACTCTTGCCTTGACATAAACTGTTGCCCACAGCTGGAAACAGGTTATGAGCTTAGATGTGCCTTTGGTCTAACCCACACATCCATGCAAATATACTTATGTTCCTATACTAACATTTTGATAAGAGCACCTTTGAGGCAGATGTTTTGAGCTAAAGGGCACATGGTCAGTTAGGTAAGACTGTGATGATTCTGCTAGAACAGGGAAATATCCCAAAAATTGGGATATTTTTAAAAATAGGGGTATACTTTGATGGTTAAGAAAACTGACAGATTTTTTGAGTCCTCAACTGCTTTAGGTTCCATATGTTTGAAAATCGCTGAAGACTGATTTTTTTATTTCCTTACAGCTGTCTGGTGAAGGGAGTATAATACTTATTTTGTGAGGTCATGGAGATTTTTTGTAACAATTTCCATGCAATAGACTCCTCTGGTCAATTAAAAACATCATCACCTACTCAAAGTTAGTCTAGAAAAATACAGTTCATGTAAAAATTACTATGCCTATATCCTTATAACCGCTTGCATGTTTATATACGTACATGTGTATGTACCTGTGTGCAAATATATATATAATATATCTCTGTGTGTATGTGCATGGATGTGTGTACATAAAAGTATCAAAATATGCTAAAAAGCTCTGTAATCTAAAAAGAAAAAACAGCTATTGCCAGATGCAATTTAAGATCATTTTTCCTACCTACATCACTCAATGTAGTTATTTTATGGAACACCTACTTCTGTCTAGTCACTATCCTAGATGTTGGAGTCTGTTTGTGTGCTCCTCCTAGCAGTTCTCAAATATTGGTACCACAATACTAGAATACATGTATTTTTCAAGGGTAGAAATAACTTTCTGCTTGGATTTGACTTTAACATTAAATGATAGATCAATTTTTTTAGTTATACTGATAGATAGCGTTGAAAATTTGTTATTTTTTTTCCTGCAGGAAAATTTGAGCTATATTTCTCTCTATTTTCATTTTTGTAGACAAGTGTTTTATAACAATTGAACATTTATCTTCACATTATTAAGCACGTACTTTAAATAATGAAAATTATTTATTAATAAATCTGAACACATAAAAGAAAATACAAAGAGCTTTTATGATTTTAATAGTTTTTCACTATTACTATAGTTATCTAGGAAACTAGCTATTCAGCAGTTGTAGACAGTATAAAAACAGCAAGTGCACCACTGAATTTATATGAAGATTGCAAATTCAGCCTTCACAAAGGAGTGCAGTCTTTTCTATAATATTGTACTTTAGACAGTTTCCAAATATGCAAGGTAACATATTTTTATTTTTTTTATTTAAAATAGAGCAAAAACATATTAGAATTGATTTCACTGCACATTACAGACACCACTAACAATTCTCTACACAAAGTTGGTTCTTTTTATTTTTCAAGTCTCTTCTAAAACCAATAGAAGATTTCAGGATTGTGTACAATTTCAAAGAATAACCTGATCAACTTATTTACTGATCCATATAGGCCAACAACATACCAGACATTTTGGCACATTACTCTGCAATACCAGAACACTGAGATGATTTATAGCAACTGGACTGAAAATGAGATTTACTAGGTACTCTTAATACACAGTACGGAAAGTATTGTAAATTTTAAAAAATAGTAACTTCTCATCAACAAAAAGGCCTTTGGAAATTTAAGTTCTGTAAACTATTTGGCAGTATCGCTTAAGGCAAAGTCATCAAAGGAAAGTAGAGGACACCTGTTGGAAGAAAAATATAGTAAATAAAATTACTATAAATACATAACATGACTTAGGCTGTGTACAGTTAAAATCCATAGAAGCTGCTTGGAAGATGCTGAAAAACAATCAATACAATTTCTGCATATGTGCAAGCAAAAGGTACATTTTTCTAAACAAGAACAATTAAAACATTTAAGAAAGCACATAAGCACATAACAACAGACTTAAAAAGTACAATGGTAATAAAACCTTTCTAAAAGTGCTTATGAAAACTCAAACAGAACTAATTTTATATACTTTTATTTTCAGTGAAAGAATTTTAAATATAATATCCAGAAGTGTTGAGAACCAAACTAAATGGATTATGCTAACAAATTAGAATAAAATTTTAAAAAAATCAAGATGAGCAGTCAGATCAATGGAAATTTAAAAGGAAAAAAAGCATGTTTTCTTATGCATCTATTAGAACTATCTTGGCTAAGAATGCAGAGAACATTATGTCAGGATTTAGCCTCTTAATTATTTCTGCATAATTTTGCTTAAGGAACTTTAGAAACCATTTTAAAAAATCAGTACAAACTACAGGTACATAAGAAAGTTTCTCTGCAACAGTTATCCTGGCAACCTGAATATAGATGAGACCGAACTGAAAAATCATAGAATCGTAGAATCATGAAACATCTTCTTTAATAATTTGATGCCTTTTAGTAGGAGAGGCATCATTTTGTCTTGACAGTGTCCCTTTACCTTCAGTTTATTTTTCAACCTTTATTTTCCAACTAAGTTTGCAATCTGTAAATGCTTGCATTCTTACCTTTGCATATCGGAGGTGGGTGGCTCCACTGCCTATTAGCTTGACACTGTGCTTTGGTTGGTCCTTGCATAACATACCCAGTATTACATGAGAATGTCACAACATCATTGAAGTTGAAACCATTTCCACTTGTTCTTCCATAAATAGGACTACCAGGGTGACCACAGCTAACAGCTAGCATAGCACAAAACAAAGAAACAAAACCAGAGCAGGCTGTTATCACTTTTCATGATTTATGATATAATAGATAATAATTATAATCATTATATATTAACATTTTAAAGTTTTGATATTATAAGATACAGAGTACTTTCCATGAAAGATTCACATTTCTCCAAACTAAGAACTTAGACATATTTTAGTAAATGTTCAAGCATTTATTTAAGTATTTAAATAAACTGAATGGAATTTGCCATGAAGTAATGAACACAAATGAAGAAAACTTTTCTGAAGAATCAGGAGAAAAGCAAGCACTTGATTTTCATTACATGTAGTCTGAAATTTAAAGGAAATATTTCAGTGCATTAGTTCCTCAGGTATTATTTCTTACAAATATGTCTTAGTATTGACTCACTCTGTTTTAATTTTGATACCTAGGTACTTAATGAAGTTATGCATTTATGACTGGATATATGAAACATTATGAGCACCATGAAACTTTTCTTGTATTTATAAAAAAACTGACTACAGAAGGTAAAGTTCCTTTTCTGTGCCCACAAAGACCAGATGTAAAAATAGTAAGGAAAATAAAATATAAATTTATTTTCCCAAAATAATTTTTAAAATGTATAAATATTTCACAGAATAAATTATTTAACTCTCAAACTTTTATCACTTTAGAAACTTTTAATTATTTTTCTAAATTAATTTTGTTAGGTCTGACAAACATATGTTCTTTTTCTCCCTGTACAACAGTAGCAATATGTCTGCCCACTGTATAAGGAAGAAGAATGGTGAATTAAAAAAATAAAAAGGTCAGAATCACTAAATTTAAACATATAATCACAGAAATTCAATTAAAACATCTAAAGTTAAATAAATAAAGAAATGTGACCTTATTTTTCTACACTTCATCTGGACTTTTGATCTGAGGTGGAGCTGTTCTTAAATATCTATCACAAAGTTAGAGGCAGCTGCGGTTTATAGCAACCTTTTATAAGTCTAAGTTTTTCCAAAGTCTTGTCTCCTTTTCTGAATTGTTGTATTGCGCATCCTCCTGTAATCAAACAAGCAGCTTCTGTTTGATTAGAGGAAGAAAATATGTCCATTTTCTCTGCTGTTAACACATTCAAAACAATTTTTTTTTTCCAGTTCTAGCATTAATGGTGTCTAATTTTATTGCCTTAACAGTTACCTGTAAAGAAGTGTGTTGGCATGAAATGTAATATAAAGAAGTAATGATCTATTACTAGATTATAAAGTGGAAACAAAATTAAGAAATACAGTTATTATAGTAGTGTTATGTATATCTATTTCTATGTAAAACAAAGTAAATAGTGAGCAGTAAGGGTAATGAATTAACATTGTGTATTATGATTCCTCATTCAGATAGTTTCTGCCACAAAAATGTAGCTATAAAAATAGAATATTTGGAAGCAGACAAATAAATTTTCAATACACTGATATTACCCAACCTGAATTATTGAAACATAGTTGTAATTTGAGAATCCTTCAAGAACTCTCAAATTTTCCTAAATGGAATACAATATGTTCTATTATTACTTATAAGTATTCCATTTGATATGTTGACATACTTATCACACAAAAGGAGCCACATTAACAAAATACAAAATTCATGCCAAAAAAACCATAGAACCATAGAATCATTTAGGTTGGAAAAGGCCTTTAAGATCATCCAGTCCAACCATTAACCTAACATTACCAAGTCCACCACTAAACCAATTAAGGGTAGAGTAATAATTTCATGTTTCCTGTTGATGGCTGGATTATTTTTTAGTGAAAGTAAAACTAGGAATCATTAAGGTTGGAAAGGACCTCTAAGATCATTAGTCCAACCATCAGCCCAACACCACCATACCTACTAAACCATGACCCAACCAAAACCCAAACCAATAAACAAAATAACAGTATCTCTGTGAGAAGAAAACAGAGTGTAAGTTGTTGAAGCAAACATTTTAATCATCAGTGCTGACAGTGTAATTCAAGAGTATCTAGTTATCTAACTACCAAAGTCAATGTACATTAAATATTTCCCAAAACCACTAAGGGACATAAAGCCATTTTTCAAATTTGAGTACTTGGGTGCCTAAGTCCCATCATTTTTTGAAGAAGTTTCATATTTGTATATAAATGACAGCTATTTAGTAGCCAAGAGATGCAATGGAAATTTTAAGTGACAACATTAAACTTCACCTGATTCATGAATCATAGATTTTAGGTGGCCAATTACTTCTGAGGATCTGCTTTATTTTTTTTTTTTTTTAATTGAAAAATGAACACTAAGTTGCAAAGTCACTCCTCATCTTGTCTGAGATAGACATTCCTGTAACATAAATCAGTACGTGTTGCCAAGCTTACTTACGCACACAGGACGGAAGCTGACCAGACCAGTTGTGATCCTGTTGACATATGCGTACAGAAGAACCAATCAACCGAAAACCAGGACTGCACTGGTATACAACTGTGTCTCTATACCCATAATTTTCTCCAATTACTTGACCATTGACTATAAGATCTGGAATACCACAGTGACCAGCTAGATTTTTGAAAGTAAATTTAAAAAAAAAACAAAGAAAAAAGTCAGAGAAATTTTAAATATACCTTCTTAATTAAAACAAGGAAATGCTGAACATTTCAATTTTTTTTATTTACTTGATTCAAAAGTTTATTTTTATTAACTTGAGGAAAATTGCATATTGCATTTGTATAAGTAGGACTGTACACATATAAAAAATACAAAAAGACAATGTAGCAAAGTGATTAAATGTCATATATGTTATAAAATTTCTTTTCAAAAAATATGAGTAACTCCTTTTTATTAAACCCTGTAAAGATCTGTATTATTTCCTTTACTTTTATTTTGGTTAATATTAAACCAATAAAGTTAACATTACACCTATATATTTAAACAAATATAAAAACTAAATAAAAATA